CCACTCTGATTCGCTGTCCCGGCTGCAGGTTGAATCTGAAATCTTTGGGCGCTTCAAACAGCAGAACAATGGTAGAGCCCAGATTAAACTCCCCCAGTGCCTCCCCCTTCTGCAAGACCACAGCCCCTTCACCTGCCGCCTTCAACACCTGGTTGTCAATGGCAACGTAGCTGCGATCGTAGAAAGAGCCTTTACTGTAGTGAGGGGCGTTTGTCTTAAGGTCCTGATGACAAAAACCAAAAGTGTTACAAACGTATCCAAATAATATGAATGTGACTAATTATATTTTAAAGTACAACACATACATTTATTTATTAAAGAACCCAACTACTGCTGAGTGTGATAATACAAATGTAAAATGTATTGTTAAAATAAACCATGTTAAGAATATTAATAAATATTAACATAATATCTTTAAGGGATGTGGTATCCCACAGTCACATGGGAACCACGATGAGGAGGCAAGAAAGACAGCACTGTCCAAGGACCATCAAAGGATAAGACGGGTCCTGAAAAGTCAGCTCAATCGGAGGAACAAGATCCAAGCCATCGACACATACACCCTGTCAGTCATCAGATACCCTGCCAGCATAGTGACCTGGCCAAAGGAGGACATGGAGGCTACCGATGTGAAGACCTGGAAACTCCTCATGCTGCTGTGATCACTGAGGCACTGATCACAGCAGCACAAGAACAGGCAGTAAGTACCAGATCAATCAAAGCAGGGGTCTACCACACCAGACAGGGCCCCAGGTGCAGAATGTGCAAAGAGGCCTCAGAGACAGTCCAACACATAGTGGAAGGATGTAAATTCAGGCAGGAACACACTGAATGGCACAAACAAGTGGCTGGCACTGTGTACAGGAACATCTGTGCTCAGTATGGGCTAGACCCTCAAGAAGGTTGTGGAGAATAACAGGGCTAAGATCATGTAGGACTTCCAGATCCAGACAGACCAGAAGGTACTGGCCAAACAACCAGACATCGTGGTAGCAGATAAGGAACAGAAGGAGGCAACGGTGGTAGACATAGCAGTTCCAAGTGACAGCAACATCAAGAAGAAGCATGAGAAGCTGGAGAAGTACCAGCTGGAGAGGATGTAGGTACTGTAGGTACCTTATTGATCCCTCAATGGGGAAATTTCAGTGTTTCAGCAGCAATGGAGAACAAACAACATAACACCATGAGAAACAAACACCACACACATATCTTGATAAATAAATTTCAGTACCTCAAGCAGCAATAGAGAACAGACAGCATAACACCATGAAAACAAGCACAGCACACACAATAAATTCCAAGTACTCAAAAATAGACAGAATCAAGTATTTGAATAATCAAGAATAATGTGGAAGGAGAAGGCCAAAGTGGCTCCAGTGGTGGTAGGAGAGCTCAGAGCTGTGACTCCTAAACTGGAGGAGTGGCTCCAACAGATCCCAGGAACAACATCAGAGCTCTCTGTGCAGAAGAGTGCAGTGCTAACTACAGCTAAGTTACTGCACAGAGCCCTCAGACTGCCAGGCCTCTGGTAGAGGACCCGAGGTTGAGGAAGATGCCGCCCCGTAGGCATGAGAAGGGAATATTATATATACACTATAGTACAGCTGAGTGCAAAAGTTTACATGAAATGGCCAAAAAAAAAGTTTTTCCTCATCAACATTGTATTTAATGCCCATTCCATTAATACAACTGTTCCTTCATCAACACAAGTAACAGGAAAATGTACAAAAATAAAGGTATGGTAAAATAATGAAAATTGTATCAGTAAAAAAAGTTTGCATCCCCTTTATGAAATGTTCATCACTGTGCGTCCCCCCTAACCTCCTCCAACCCCTCTGGGTTTCCTCTGAGCAGCACGTGGATCCTGTTAGGTGTCGTTTAGCCCGTTCTTCATGGCGGACTTGCTACAAGTCGACCAGATTACTTGGTTGATTGCTGTGTACAGCTCTTTTAAGATCGATCACTGTACTATAATACCACACTTTGTTTTAAAAATGATAATACAATGGTAAAACTAACAAAACCTAAAAATTACAATAAAGGACAGCTGAGTGCAAAAGTTTACATGAAATGGCCAAAAAAAAAGTTTTTCCTCATCAACATAGTATTTAATGCCCATTCCATTAATACAACTGTTCCTTCATCAACACAAGTAACAGGAAAATGTACAAAAATAAAGGTATGGTAAAATAATGAAAATTGTATCAGTAAAAAAAGTTTGCATCCCCTTTATGAAATGTTCAACATTCAGCTACCAACTGATAAAAATGCAGCTGAAACCTAAAACTATGAAAAATATAAAATAAAATCAGTCTAAAAGCCTCTGATGTGAAACAAACTCAAGTCTTGGCTCTGATCCTCACCTGGTCAAAGTAAACTCTGATGGATCCAACATTCGTGGCTCCGACTGCTGTTAACGAGAAGAAGCCGTGCTGCCATTGGCCGGTGAGCACCACACGCTCATTAAGGCAGAAGAGCTCTTTGACCCAATGAGCCACACTCGGGTTAACAGACATTAACAAGCCTAACGAGAAGAGACACAGATGAAGACCAGGTGGGCAGCAGAGTGTACACAGATAACTCAAACAGACTCTCACCTGGGAAGTGACGTCGAAGCTCCACCGTCCAATCTGTGGGTGAATGGAAGCAGTGATAGTCACCTGGAGCCAGGTAGACCACAACGTGGAATAGGTCGCTCTCTGGACACGACAGGAGGACATCCCTGAAGGATGAGGACAAGTCTAAAGACAGAGGGAAGGCACAATGTCAGCTTAACAACAGGCTGCAGAGCCCAGAGGGTCTCCAAAGTCCACCGGACCATCAGGCTTTGATTATTATTAATGAATCAATTTAAGTTGTGTGACAGGGCCACATGAGTGTGCATCTTGGACACGGTTTCAATGGCCTTATTATGTCACATAGGGATGTGGTGGATGTGGTCTTACTGTTGTTCTGACTCTTCTGTGGACCCAGGAAGTTCTCCAGAGTGTAGGTGACCCCCTTGACCTGCTCCACCTCAGAGTTCTGCACCCGACCAAAATGGAGGACCTTCCCATCAGCTGGGGAGATCTGACAGAGAGGAGGCCTCAGTCAAACTAAAGGGGACCAGGTGGAAGCCCCATACAAACACACACCGATCAGCCATGTGTTGACCATGTGTTCTTCCTTAGACACTGTTGGTAGGTACTGACCACTGCAGACCAACAACACCCACCAAGACCTGCAGACTGGGAGATGCTCTGACCCAGTCATCTCACCATCACAGTCTGGCCCTTGTCAAACTCACTCACATCCTTATGCATAACTGTTTTTCTGCTTCCAACACATCAAGTTTGAGGACTGAATGTTCACTTGCAGCCTAATATACCCCCCACACTGACAGGTGCCACTGTAATAATCAGGTCACCTGCCAGTGGTCATAATGTTATGGCTGGTCGGTGTATATAGCTATACAAGTGTCAGATCCTGAGTGAACATGTCGCCACGTCCGGACATTTGAACAAGCAACGAATATGTTCCATCTGAGCGTAAAAACCACGTACAGCTCCTGTAGATGAGGCATGTGTCATATTACTACATTGCTGTTAATACAAGACTGAGCACTTTACAGTTGACATGTTTTTACCTTTTCACAGGTCTTGATTTTCTGCAGAAATAAAGAGTAATAGAAAGAAAACGGCCTGAAAAGTGTTCTCAAATTTGGAAACACTGGTGTGTTTAAGCACAAACACGCCTTCAATCCAAAATGAGCTTCGAACCAACAGCCGCTTGTCTTCGCACACGCCGTGTGCGTCCAGTGCCAGGTGGAGACGATGCCAGACGGTAACTGCATAAAAACCTGTTATTGTATTTAACCCAGATTTTTCCAGGTGAATCCCATTGAGGTTACAAACCGCTTCCTGGCCAAGACAGCAACATGACTACCTTTAGGCAGCACAACATAAAACACACAATGACACTGCGTCTGCCCCAGCGCTGCACAGCCCAAAGCACATCACTGAAATGTCTCTACTAAGTCTCTAACCTGCAGCTGCATGTCACACATTCACAAACACACAACCAGTGAAGGAGCGTGCACAGAGGTGCCACCTGAGAGCATATGCACTGCTGGTCCAACGACACAACAATGACAGTGATGTTTTAAGAAATTAGACAAAGCTGCAACTCCCCTTGTTGTTAACACCCACAGGAAGACCGCAGACAGTTTCAGAGCCTTTCACTTTAAGAGCAGCTCAACAAATGGCGCTCTGTATTAAACCTTTCCCATTAACAACCGTATATAAGCTTGTAAGAAACCTCAGGTCAGCGCACACCGACTGTGTGGTGGTCAGAGCACGGCTCGCCTTCATCTGGTCCCTAATATGAGGCGCTAACAGTCCACTTCAGTAAATGATTCCCTCCAGACCACATGTGTCAAACTCAAGGCCCGCGGGCCACATCCGCATCAGATCAATCAAGCGTCTGTTGATGTATACAACCCTAATTTCAAGTCAAAGCTAGCCCCTAACAATGGCCAAGAGAAGAGTTGGTTCTGAAAACAGAGCCTTTCTAAACCGGTGGGAGGCTGAGTATATGTTTACTGACATTGTCGGTAAACCCGTGTGTCTTATTTGTGGAGCTAATGTGGCTGTAATTAAGGAATATAACCTAAGAGGCACTACGAGACAAAACATCAGGACAAGCTTAAAAACGTGAATGCAAAGCAGAAGCTACAGAAGGTAGAGGAGTTGAAGAGGAATCTGGCGTTACCAGGCAGGAGGAGGTGCAGAGCGGCCGGACCGCAGGTTTCAGACGTCGACAGAAGAATTCTCCCAGATTCCTGTAGTAATGTAAATCCTCCACGGCAGCCTCCTATTTGACAAGAGACAGGAACAAAGCGTAGGCGTGTTGGTGGATCAGCACAGGTGGACTATATCTCACACGCTGCAGAGACACTGAAGGTTTCTTTGCTACTCCGTGTTTTTTTAATTCCTGAAGATTTCATTGTGAAACTGTCAGCAAGCACATGAGAGAAACTTTTCTAGATGCTGTCAGCTCTCTACATGGAGGAGGTGTCTGACTCCCTGTTATATGAACCAGCACCACCTCCACCCTGCTCCAGCTCCTCTCCTGCTGATTTTTTTTCACATCTCGTTGCTTGTGTTGAACACTGTGGACATCAGCAGGTGTTTTCACTAACAGGGGAGAGCTACTGACAGACGCATCCTGCTCCTCAGGGCTATAATACAAAATAAAAGATGACCTGCATGTTGACCCCAAAGGTCCAGATGTAGAGGGAGTAGACGGGTTTTCGGAGCCAGGTGGGGAGCTCCACCCTGTTCACACGTCCCCAGGCCCGAGAGAGGAGGCGAGTTGGGAAGGAGCGGTACAATGCCACCTGTAGGAGAAAACAGGAAACTACAGCTGTAATGCTTGTTATCGGGCTTTAAAGAAGATGAAGCGCGTTTCAGTCTCAACTCCACTTTAGTGGAAAGCAAAGAAAAAGAAAGAGTTGCATGTCCCATAGCTCCCAAAAAGTCTGCAGTTATAACTACAATGTGTAGTTACTAATCCAAATGTTAGTGATTGCATCTGAATATATTCTGTTCAGTAAAAAGCTTATATTCAACTGTAACATCAATTCTGTTGCTTTGCATCTTTTTTGCCATGCAGTAGGTCAACACCTTCTTTCGGCATATTTTTGGACAACGTGGGTCAGCGAAGCCACTGGGACAAACACCACCGAGGGAAGGATGGCTAACAAGGAGCTGTCTCTATGTCTAGAGAGGGTCCATTCATCTGGCAACATGCCTTTGAAATTGGCTTTTGGTTGGTTCGCTTTTGACTTTGCACCACCTCTCTTCTGTCAATCAAACTGTCAGGGACTGAAGAGTAACGTGAAGGACACAGCATTTAACTTTCAAAGAAGATGGGCTTTTTATTTACCCCGCAAAAATTGAAAAAATACAAAGCAACACCATTGTCAAATAAATTGGGCTCTAAAGAAGGTCAAGAAAAGATCAGGGCAGTTCCTCAACCACAGAAACTGACAAATGACACAGGAGGACATATATACCAGCCAAACCAGCAACACACACAGGGAATGGACACAGACACTAACTCACTAATCTACTAATCAACATTAAACAGCCTGCTAACAACTTTTTTTCTTAAAAAAGAAAGGAAACATATCATGACAAATAAAGTTTTAGCATGAGCTACAAACAAATAAGAAATATAGATTTCTCCCAAATCGCCTTCCTTTCCTCTATTGGGCATTTGGTACAGTCCAGACCCAGTGGGAGGTATTTAGGCCACCGCTGCCTCAGTCTAATCTTTGGATGACCCCCATGTCCGGACCAGCACCACAGTAACTCAAGAAAAGAAAATGACCAGTGTATTGATGATACAAAACCAAATGTGCATGTTTAATTAACTGTGTGTGTCTAAACAATAAACCTACCGTCAGACCAAATGCATAAAATCTGCGTTTAATTTAAATCCACATGTGAACAAAAAAAAGTGAAAGCAAGGGTGGATGAAACAAAACCAAATTAATCCCACTGCTGGTGAAGGCACAGACCAAGGTGGAGGGCCAGGCCACGGCAGAGGCCCGGGTCGAGGCCCTCCCATGGTGGAGGCCCACACACAGCGAAGGCCCAGATCGAAGCCCTCCCACAGTGGAGGCCCACACACAGCGAAATCTGAAGCCCACCCACAGTGGAGGCCCAGGCCATGACGAAGGCCCAGATCGAAGCCCTCCCACAGTGGAGGCCCACACACAGCGAAGGCCCAGGCCACAGCCCACACACAGCGAAGCCCCAGGCCACAATGAAGGCCCAGATCGAAGCCCTCCCATGGTGGAGGCCCAGGTCCCGTTCGAGGCCCACACACAGTGGAGGCCCAGGCCATGACAAAGGCCCAGATCGAAGCCCTCCCACGCCGGAGGCCCTCGCACAAAGCAACGCACACTGTTCTAAGAAACCTGAGTCTGCCACGCCTGGCTGTTTCCAACTGACAACACCAAACCACAAGAACACCTTTCAGTGCTGGAGATTAAACAGTGTTTTCCTTTTGAAAGCAAAAATGGATTTTGTTCAGTCCACTACATGTTTCAACAGGATTATGTAACTGAAGTTAGGTTGAAGAACCTTTAATAAAAGTGTGACACTAATAAATGTTGAGCACAGTTGTGAGGTTGACTCTGCCTAGTTAAATTTATGTTAGGACTTCTCAGCTTTATTGCCCAGTTTAAAACATTCGTTTTAGTAATTAAACAAGCAATTAAACTAGTTAAAAGTATTAGATTACATTACTTGAATGAAGTAATCTAAATAGCTGTGTTACTGCAGTGGCACAAATTAGATCACAGACAAATCACTACAGTTCCAATAAGCATTTACTGGATGTACCACAGTCAAATTCCTCATGTGTCCGACACACCTGACCAATAAAGCAGATTCTGATTATTACAATAATATCAAACAGGCCGGTTACAGAATCACCTTTTCTCTGCAGAGAAGCCGTCGTGCACGGGAGCAGCCAGAGAACAAATCAGCCACCTTCCCTCTGCCTACTCACCCTGATGCAGCCTAGCGTGAGCTTTTATCTCCTTTTTTCTCTTGTTCATCCCAAATTCTCCGTTTCCCATCAATACTAACATCCCCTTTTCTAGGAAATGTTCTGAGGAAAGTTCATCCAATAAGTTATCTGCAGATCACAGTGGTCTCCGGGTTGCAGTGGTCTCCGGGTTATACTGACCCATCTCCATGGCATCTCCTGCTCCAGCACACAAACACCTCCCACAGATTACAACAGTTTATAAAGGGCTGAGCCTGCAGGACTAAACATCTAACTCATACTGTGATCTAATACTATTTACTACACATGTATGTAATCTATACAGTCCTATTGTAGCCTATTACATATTAATTATATTTGTTTTAACCACTACAGAATCCCCCCCGAATACTTCAAAACACTTCAAGAAAACAAAGCACAACAAAAAACCAAAGAAAAATATAAGCATGTTTATCTGACTGTGACACTCCTAAACTCTAAGCACTATCCCAAATTAACATCATTAATCAAACATTAAACTTTTCTTACATTTAAGATGAAATCTAGAATCAATTTTCATTACAGAATTAAAAGCCAAATTAAACTTTATCCTTAGAGTATTTCTTCACATGCTCTAATGGACCTAACTTCAGACAAATCATTCATTCAGATTATATTTTACCAGGTTAACTAGTAATCTGTAACCTATTACCCTTTGTGCTTGTATCTTAATCCCGCCAGAAAGTGTCGTTGGCACTCCCAGCGTGACTGTAACAGCAGCTGGCTACGCTGAGGATGTCATTGTGTTGCTTCTTTCAGTTACAATAACCGGCCAGTTACATCCAGGGAAGTTCATTCACAAGCCGCCCGCTCAGTCTAAGGGTAGGGTAGGGTAGAACTTTATTGATCCCACAGTGGGGAAATGTCAGTGTCTAATGCAGCCGAGTCAGTTTGTGACCATGAATAACTCTGCTGCCCACCAGCTGAATGTGCTGTAGTCATTTTCCTGGGAGTCTGGCTCTCGTTACCCCAGTTTGGCGCCTGCTGCAGCTGCAGTAGCATTACTCTGTGTCTCTCTCTTCACTTGCTGGCAGATTAATACCACTCGACAGTACGCTTTATTCAATGTCAGACCTTTTCAAACAGCATTTATTCTTCATGTGACAGGATGGCAAAGTGTTTTTTTTTGGTGAAGTGACCTTTTTAGGTTCACTTGTTCTTTCTGTGTCCCGTCCACCCCTCCTGTAGCTGCGATACAGGTGTGCTGTGTTTGCTGTTGACATTATTCTACTGAATTTTTCTCCAAACTGTGACAATGTGGGACTGGTTTTGTGTTCACGATGGGCTGGGTGGAGCAGAGGCCATTGATTATAGTCTCATGTTAGTGCTAGCTAGGTTTTCAAATGTTACAGATCTCACCTTTAGTCCAAAATGCTGCAACCAGAGTACTGAGAAACAGTAAAGAAAAATATTTAACTTGAAGCTTTTTATGCTGTTTGACCAACTTGAGCACTGGTCTAAAATAACGGGCCCATCTTTGTGCTTCAGAGCAGAATCTCTTGTTTACCCAACACGAGCCATCTCTCAAAGCTCTTATTCAGCAGGCAGCTCTGTTTCACACTAAAAATGTCCATATTGTCCAGAATGCTGAGCAGCTGCATGCAGCACAGTAACATAACAATAAAAATCCTTCCTTTCCTTTTATGGCCCAGATCTGTTTGAAGTTAACTACACAAAGGTAACTACCTCAATCACTATACAAATATGAATGTAGTCAAACTATCAGCAAGCTACTGCAAAACACAGTTAAACTGATAATCATAATGATAATCACCTTTATTGGCCAAGTATGTTACACACAAGGAATCTGTTTCCAGTACAGAACCGATGGCAGCCATCTGCGGCGCCACCTCAACCGATGGCTCTAACCATCAGGGGCAACATACATTTTGACACGTGAACTGCAGGCACCGTGATTCAAACCTTTCGGTTGGGAGACAACCACTCTACCCACTGATCCACAGCCACCCAACTACTAGTGTAATTACATGTGCTGTATGCAAATGTGGGGGGGAGCAGACGCTAATATAACCAAGCTACAGTAAAGCTAACAATAACACCAATATACTAATACCCAAAATATTATATATATAAGACAGGAGGAGGGAGAAGGCGGCGGTCTGTAATCACCAACCTGTGTGGGCGTGGCCAGAGAGGGCGGGGCACCATCATCCTGTTCACCCCTCCTCTTGTAGTACTGGTAACCAAGGTAAGCACCACCTGTCCCCAACAGGAGGGGGAGAGGCCGTGGGCGGGACAGGAGGCCACGACCTGATGAGAGAGATCTGATTGGTCCAAAGATCCGACAACAATGGCAATGGCGGGGATGAGGTGCAGACACTCACCAGCGGTGAAGCTGCGCTGCTGGCAGGAGCTCAGAGGAAACGCTCTGAAACACAAACATGCAGGATTTTTTAAAATTTAAAACAAACATGAAGTTAAAGTGAATGACTCACATATTCTACACACAGAATCATTAATCATGTTTAATATCGGTGAGCCTCGCCTCCAATGCTGCTAGCATCTGACATTTATTACAAGTACCATTATCGCTAAAAGAGGCAGTGGAATAAGTGAACATGTGGCACTCTGAGCAACAGACAGAAGGAGAGAAAGAGGAAGAAGCCATTTCTCTTAACTAAGCTACTAGCTTAGCTAGCTCCTAAGCTAGCCAACCTAAAGTACCAAGTTAAATTTGGAAATAAGTAAGAACTTCACAGGTGCTTAAGTAGGGCAGCCGTATGTTGTACCTCAGAAAATTGGATGATGTTCAGATAAACCTAGAAATTAGTGAGCTTAATCCGTAAACAATCTGGTAGCAAGCACACCAGGGTGCAGGCACAGGAAACAGGAAGTCAATACGATTACCACAGAAACAGCAAACAGCAGGATCTCCAAGGTCAAGATGTTCAACACACCTGGCCAATAAAGCAGAATCTGATTTGCTTTGGCTTATGAATCTTCATAGCGGTGACATTTTTAAAAATCCCCATAAAATGTATTTTGCTATACTCTATGAATTGTGGTTTAGGTGACATGTTTCTGATAGGTATGTCCATTGATCTATTTTTCAGAATCAGAATCAGCTTTATTGGCCAGGTGTGTTGGACACACGAGGAATTTGACTGTGGTACATCGGCTCTCAATGCATATGCACATGGCTCTATGTGAGGCAGCAATAGGCAAGTAAACAATGTAAGGCTGAGGACAGAAATAAAGAAGTAATGAGCAATCAAGCAAAGGAATTTGCATTAGGAATAAAAATAAAGTACTATATACACACAGTGTATATGCATTGAAGGATCTGTATGTACAATGTATATTTACAGGTATTGCACTGAGGGTTATTGTCCAGTCATACTGTCGTTGGTTAAGTGTTCATCAGAGCGACAACCTGGGGGAAGAAACTGTCCCTGTGCCTGGTTGTCTT